GGTATCTCGTTTCACATCATACCTAAATTCCAATTTTTTTTAGTCTGTCGAAAAGGTCTGTAGGCAACACATTACGAAAGAAAATATCAAATTGATTAACAATTTTTTCAAGATTTGTGATCTTACAAAAAAAATAATTTAAGAATTTCCAATCGAATATGTGTAATAATCAGGGAACGGATTTTTAGGACCTAAAAACCTATAAAAAAAGGCAAAATAAAATAAAGAAATAGGCTGGAAAAGGCAAAATAAAATAGCGAAAAAGGCAGGAAAAGGCACTAGGTATTGCAAAAAAGGCAAACCAAAATAGCGAAAAAGGCAGGAAAAGGCACTAGGTATTGCAAAAAAATCAAAATAAGGCATTAAAAAAAGACCGAAAATACAAAGAACAATCAAAAAATATATTTATTTTAGAAATGTTTTTATTACAAGTAAAAAGAGAAAAACTATGAACTAGTTTCATTATATGAATCTTTGACTATTTTATCCTTTCGAGTTTCAAACTCATAAAACTTTAATCTGTATAGTTGTAGTAACATTGAATCACAAGATGCATTTTGAAGTTTTCTGGCAGCATTTTCATTCGATTTTCGCAAAGAAAATCCTTGAATGTACTAAATGTGCGCTCGACGCAAGTTGATACAAGAGGAGCCCAATTTAAATATGGAACGTTTGAAATGTTCATATTATCAGGAATAAGGGCGTTTTCTCCGCCCTTTACAATTTTATCCACACCCCTTATTGTCTCCAAGCCTACGTTTGCTGAGAAAACGGCTTTGAATTTTTCCAACACCAATTTGGCAAGAGGTCCCTGCGCTTCTATAAGCCGCATGGGCATGTGTATACTTTGTATTCTTTAAAAAAAATTGTAAATGCTATAATCACTTTTTTAAATGTAGAAAAGGCAAAAAAAGGCAAATATCTTAAAAAAGGCAAAAAAAAGGCAAATATCTTAAAAAAGGCAAAAAAAGGCAACATCAAATGTGTATATGTGGAATCAGGGAAAGCTAAATCGTGGACATTCTTAATCGCATATGCTTATTTCTTTAGCAGAAAAAAAGGCAATTTCCATAAAATCCGTTCCCTGGTAATAATATATTTAAGTCTATTTAATTTCAGTCTGAAGTTTTAACTCCATTCACATTCAGTTAAGAGTTAAGTTTAGTTCAGAGCCTAAGGCCCATGCGGCTCCTGTTCCTAGTCTTTAGCAAGTGAGTAGATTGATCTCTCCCTTTCTAATAAATAAATAATTCACTGTGAGATTATTTTTTTTTTTAACCCACAGATAAGCAAAATAAATGCTAACAGTTTCTATTTAAGCAACATAACGAGCAAAAACTCATACATAGTATGTATGTACATACATACATATATACGCCCGTGGTCAAAATATTAGAAAAGCCTTATATTTTTTTGTTTATTTAATATTCATTATTTTTTTTTTTATAAAAGTGCCGTTCAATATCTAACAAAAACTATAAAAATTTATATTTCAGACTTTGCACAAAAATTATAAAAATCAATTTTTAATCAGATTTTTTGAAATTTGTTTGAATATGCAGTTTAATAGCTCACTAAATTTTACATAGTTTAATATGTATGTTTTAAGTTGCATAAAAATCGTGTAGATTTTTGCCAATTTTTCCCCTGCATTTTCTCCCATACAAAGTATGTTCGACATTTTTTTTTTTATGAACAACCAAAAAAAAATTATCAAAAATCAACGCGATTAAAAGTTAAAACTTACACTTTATTGTTCTAAAATTTAATATAAAACTAACATGCTCAAAAAATAAATGTAAAAAATCGGATTGAAAAGTTGACCATTTAGATGCAATTTGCAGAATTTTTATAAATTTTGCACAAAGTTTGAAATATCAGTTTATATTGAGCTGCACTTTTATAAAAGAATAGTAAATAGAATTAATAGACAATAAAGTTTAGAAACGGCGAATTTTTAGAATACGGGCAACTATTTTTTATAAAAATATGGTTAATTCTACAACCAAAACCCCAAAAATCAGAGTTCCAAACGTTGTGCAAAATTAAACAAAATTCTGCGAAATTTCATTCAAATATTGCACTTTTTATTCACGCTCTCTAGAAAAAAGTTGAGTATGCATTTTTTTAGCCCATTTCTTGTTTCTTGTATGTATATCCTCGATGTTTTTTTTGGCGAAACCGCCCATCGACCAGTTGCAAAACCGCATAATCGCCGTTGTGGCGAAAATGAGATTTGGTAACCCTGAAATCCAGGCATCGAGATTTATGCATAAAAACCGTAAAATCGCTACTAAACCAACAGATTTATAAAATAATAGCTAGAGAAAACACCGCAATGCATTCAAAGAAAACCCGTTTTTTCGCTCTCCTGTAAAATTTGAGTGCCGTAAGATAGGCGGTTTTGCAAAAACATCGACGATATCCAGAACTGGTCACAATAGGGCGTTTCTATTATTTTGACCATTGGTGTATATAACAAAAATAGCACTTAGCCATTTGCCATCATTTACGGAGCCGCGCTCGAAATTATAAAAGAGATAACTTTAAAGACGTAGTTAATTGCAAATTGAATTCCCTGCAGGGATCCTATATCTTATCAGCAAACCAAAATAAATAGACACACACACATTGCCGCTTACATTAATTCGAAATTCACAGCCGCCTATTAAGTGCTAAGTAATGAAATCTTACAATGAAAATAGTAAAAAATAAAAATTATCGTCATTTATATAAACCCAACAACAAGAGAGAAAATGGGAGCTCGTGCTCAGCCAGACTGCAAATGGAAAGCATGTGCTAACTACTTGAGAAACTAATTAAAAAAAGACACCAATGAACGTTTCTAACAAATGGTATATTAAAATTGTCTGTAATTTAGTTAACTAAGAATCGGTACAAACAAATTTTTTCGGGAAAAATTTGTCATTTTACGTATTCTTTTAAAGTTACGCTGACCTTTGCTGCAAGTCATTGTGCCAAAAAGAAATACGTTTCCGTTTTAATTCAATTCCGTCGCGCGAATTGTTAGAAATTAAATCGAAGAAGAAAACCATATTCACAAAATCAACTTCATCTCGGATTGCGCACACTTAACATCCTCCTTTCTTCTCCTGCGGCATAACAGTGTTTCGCAGATGCGCCGCGGCCGCGTACAGACACTGCTTTTCAAGAGCTACGTTTGTATGTATGTACATATGTGCTTCCACTATAATCAAATTAATCGCAGACGCTGACAGTGAATGAGACACAGTTGTATTTTGATATTTTTCAGACTTTTTTTTTTTTAAGTTTAGCATTGCAAAATAGAGGGACTCACATGATAATTATATTCACTATTGTTTGTTTTATTTATCAAAGCGGTTCACTGAAATGTAAATACAACAAACCAATGATAGATAGACGCTTATATCTGTACATACTTACATATACATACGTATATACACTTATGGTCAGCTAATTGAGCCAGCAACATTCTAATCAGTTTTGGCTACTTTACTTGTGTTTATTTTATGTTTATTATGTTTTTATAAAAGTCTAGCTCATTAAACATCATATCGATGGCTGAGTGGAAGATCGACCTATCTTGGCAGCCAGTTCGAAAATGCCCTATCTCAGACAACTTTTCAAGAACGCCCTACTTCAGAATTTGATTGAAAAAGGCCCAGCTCAGTATTTGGTTGAAGAACGCCCTATCCTAGATGCCGATTCAAAAACGCCCTATCTCAACTTATTTTCAATGTATTTTCGTTTGAAATAGGGCGTTCTGAACCGAATTCTGAGATAAGGCGTTATTCAACCAAATTCTAAAGTAGGGCGTTCTTGAAAAGTTTTCTGAGATAGGGTGTTTTCGAACTGGCTGCCGAGATAGGTCGATCTTCCACTCAGCCATCGATATACAGTCAGCGGTAATTTTTGGAGACTTGAAACCTGCACCATATTATACTAAATTTTAATGGGCTGCAAAACTGTATACTCAAAAGAAGTGAAATTGAAAAAGTTTAAATTTGGTTGACATTTTTCTCGTATTTCTTGAATTTCCCTAAGTTCTATATGAACTTACAAAAAATGCTAAACTGTATACTCAAAATAAATGGAATTTGAAAATTTTTTTTTTATGACATTTTTTCGTATTTCTTGAATTTTCCTAAGTTCTATATATTTAAAAAAAAATAATGATTTGGTGCATTTTTCTGTTGAATGAACTATATTCATATTATTGACGCTGACTGTAAATCCACGTTTCAAACTTTGTGCAAAAATGATAAAAAATTTGCAAAATTTCAGCTAAATTTTCAACTTTTTATTCAGATTAGACAAAAGCACGGGACAAAAATTTCAATCCCAATCCCGCCCGAAGTTAAATTTTTATTTCCCGAACCCGCCCATCCCAACGGTTTTAAGAATTTTACCGCGGGCCCCATGAGTAACGAAATCTTTCACTAAGTAGTCAAATGTCTTTCAAACTAATTTTAAATAATAAAAATCTGACATGTTTCGATTACTGTTTTTTGCTTTGCTGTTCGTTTTCCTTGTCAATAAAACATAAAAAAGT